AGGCAGACTGGGGCTTAGACTCCGCGCCCTGGGGAATCCTGCCCTGAGGACCGCTAGAGGTACCACCAAACGGTCATTACAGAACCCTACGGCCGGCCTGACCGTTCCACCTCTCCAGCCCTGACTACGCCTGTGTTCCTGCACCTCCTAAAGATTAGTGGAAGGTTGGTTTGCTCACTGTGCGTTTATTTATATATATATATATATATATATATATATATATATCTGGGTGGCTAATAATAACCTGTATTATACTATACCTGAAACCTGCGTTTCCCTGTGTCAGTCCACACCTTTCTGGTCATTCCTAGATTCCTGACACCTTGTTTCAATAAGTCTGGTCTGTTTGGAAGAGGCCAAGATCCATTTACCAGGAGTATGTCTGTGTACCATGTACGTCTGGGCCAGTTCAATGAAAATATCACCAAAACCCTTTCCACTGCTATCTTATGCAGCAGTCAAGGGGGAATCTCTATCAGAGGGAAGCCATATCAGCCTGCATGGAGTCTAAGGCACATTCATGGAAAATGCTAGAAGATCCCTGGTTCTGGCTGTAAATCTGTTCAATTTGTTGTTGAACCTGGAGGTCAAGATGTCTAAATCCGATTTCCCCCACCTTTGGCAGACAGTCTGAAAGATCTCAGGGTGCAGAGGCCATTCCTCAGCTTTAGGCATTGGTGGCTTAGCAAATGCTCCTGCCAAATGTCCGTGCCAGGAATGTGGATGGCAGAAAGGTGGAATGTGAATTTCTATCCAGGAAAGCATCCATATTATTTTTCCTAGTGCAGATAAACATCTAATGTCCCCCTGATAGTTTACGTAGGCCACTGCTGTGTCATTGTCTAACTGCACCCTGAATGAATGACCTTGTAGAAGGGGGCACAGTGTTTTAGTTATGTTTATGGCTCTCAGTTCCAGGATTTTTGATGGAGAATTTCAACACCTCTGAAGACCAATTCATATGGACAGTTATGGATTTGTAATCCCCCCCCCCCCCCAGCCTGTAAGGCTGCATCCGTTGTCAGGGTATTTGAGGAAATTACTTTCATGACTCCAGGGCAGAGCTGAAGATCCAGCATGTCCAGGAAATTTTTGAATAGATGCATAGGATGGATAGGAAGGAAAATCATTTGCTTCAGCTGTCCAAAGTCATAACCAGGTCCCCAAGACACCGTGAGGGCTGACTGATTAAAGGATAAGTTCACGTTTCATAGCATATTACACTCATATTCAGGTTATAAAATGTAACGATCAGACTGGCCCCCGTTCCCTGCTTTGACAGTTAGCAGAGGATCTTTTCCCCACTCCCTCGCTAGCTGTCAAATTTTAAATGAAACAAATGTTAAAGAGACATGTGGAAGAGACATTCCTTAACATAATCGGGAGATTGATTTGTAGTCTCACTACCTGATGTCTCATTTTGATACATTTGTCCTCTGGAAGAAAAATCTTTTGACTGACAGAATGTATTTCATACCCCAGGAATTGGATAGTCTGGGCGGGAATCAGATTTGATTTCTCTCAATTGATGAGCCATCCAAGGCACTGCAGATGATTCTGAGTGATCTTTAGATGCTCTAACAGGATGGGGCTGCCAAGAGAAGATCATCCAAGTAAGGGATAACCAGAATGCCTTTTTCCCTAAATGGAGCTAATGCCTCTCCCAGCACCTTTGGCCTATTGTCAATTCCAAGGTTTTTTCCAAACAGAAGAGCTCTGCACTGCAGATGTTGTATATGTTTCCCACCTTGACTGGCATTCTCAGAAATGTCTGACATGCCAGATGAATCGGGACACGAATATAGGCGTCTTTCAAGTCGAGGGTAACATCCCTGACTTAAAAGGGAACGCAGAGTGAAAATTGACTCCATCCGGCACCACTTGTACCTTACTGACCTGTTTAGGAGTTTTAAGTTCAGAATTAGTCTGAACGTCCCAGAGGGCTTTTTACTACAAAAATACGTGAGTAAAAACCCACACCCCTTTCCAGGTCTGGTATTGGGATCAAAACCTTCTGATCCACCATCTGTCCAATTAGGAGACACAAGGGGGTTTATTTACTAAAGCTGGAGTCCAAAATCAGACTCCCTTCTGCATAGAAACCAATCAGCTTCTAACCTCAGCTTGTTCAATGAAGCTTTGGCAATGAAACCTGGAAGCTGATTGGTTTCTATGCAGAAGGGAGTCTGATTTTGGACTCTCCAGCTTTAGTAAATAAACCCCAAGGCGTCTGCTTCTTCCAATCCTAGGGAAGGCTCGTGACCAAAAATCTTTGAAGCGGAAGGGAGTCGTATTCCAGTCTGTTCCCTGATGAAGGTGAAGAATATACTGATTGGAGATAATCTTTTCCCAGTTTGATAAGTCCCCCAGTCTTCCTCCCACTGGCAGGAGAGCTTCATTGTGATTCGGGGGGGGGGGGCACTTTCAGATTGAATAAGATTCCTCCTTTACCTTTCCCCTTGTGACCTGAGCAATCACCAATTTTTTGACCTAGGAACCCTGTGTCCTGGTCAAACCTTTTAAAACCTGTGCTTTTCTTCTTTTCTGGAAAGGCTTTCTTCCTATCAGCCGTACGTTCTAAAGCCTGTAACCCTGGGCCAAAAAGAGTCTCCCTAGAAAAAAGCAAGGTGCATAGACAAATCTTTGATGCAGTATCACCTGACCAGGTTTTAAGCCAAAGCTAACCATGTCTACACAATATTAGGACAAATCACCCTGTACCCATAACAGGCACAGGGTGACTTACACATAATAGGGATATTGGGGGCTGAGAGGGGTCTCCTCACCTCTCCAAAGTAAGCTGGGTTCCATGGGCCCCCCCACTCACAGTCCTTAAGAACTCATATCTTCAAAGGCCAGGACAGTATTTTTTTTTTTCCACGCTTTTGAAAGTGGTGCATCCAATCTGGGGCCCTTATTCCATGGATGCTGGACATTAAAAAGGAAACCTTTTTAGGCTGTTCAAAAAGAAAGGCCTACGCCTGGGTTCCTTCCACTCCAAAGGAACGGCATCTGTTAGGGATTTATGAACCAGAAAAAAATCTGGACCTTTTGGTTTGTAAACCCTCACACATCAGATCATGTTTAGAGAGCTGAACTTTCTCTTCTCAATTAAAAGCGTTTCATAAATTGCTTTTAATAAGTCATCATGATCCAATGAAATCTTGGATCTAGACTTCACAGGTACCGAACCTTCCTCTTCTTCATCAGACTGGCCAACCTCTGGATCACTCCCAGAGGAAGAGGCAGCATGACACATTAAACATTCCTCCAAGGCTGCTTCTCTGACCCCCTGGCTGGAGAAGGCCTACTAAATGCCGCATAAGTAGGACGACCTTTGAAGTCCAACATAAATGTCTTAAGTTGGTCTCGTTTGTAAAAGAACTGGCTAGCACTTTAAAATCATTTAACACAAGTTGAGGTAGAATCCTCCTTACCCAGACTATTGATACAAGAATGGCATAAAGGCTTGTTGAAGGGGGAATTTAGCTTTGCCGCACACATACCACATTTCTTCTTCCTGGGGCCAGGCTCCAGACCTCAGGAACTGCCTACTAGAAAATCAACACTCCCTCATGGGAAGAAGAAACGTGCTTCATCAGCTTAACTCCACCACCAAAAGGAGCTGTAGATGACAGAATACACCGTAACACAGCTAGGAGCCCTCCCCCATGTATCTGCCTGTGAGGTGCTGGTTCCAGAGGGTCTGGATTCAGCTGTAACCAGGGTGTTGCTGGAAACTCCCATGACTTCCCTTCGTGGAGTCGCTACTGCAGCTTCTGCTGGGAACGAATCACCACACACCAGCTGCCCTCCCTGCCTGGCACCTTTAAGGGAACCGGAACCAGCGATCCCAATGCCCAGAAATTAAGTCACACGCCCCGGAAGTGAAGCCTCTGCTTTTTGCTGACCAGTTGGAATGCAAGGTCCCGTTTCCTCTGCCATACAGGAACGGCAACTGACTCCCTGCAGCCCACACGAGGCAGGAGCCACAGTAATGGACACCATTGGATGCCTCCTGCACATCCAAGCAGAACATGACCAGCCATACACACCTGCTTCTGGCGAGAAGGTAAGCCAACTATGGCCGTGACCCACTCTGGTTCGACCCTCTCTGGGCCTAGGACAAGCCAGAAAGGCAAGGCAATACTCCTTTCCCCAGATCAAAAGGAAGTATTGCACAAAAGGGCACAGTATACAAAGGTCCATCCTACTCCCAGGACCTATTCCCCACAGCCTATGGGCGCACCAAGTTCCAAGTTACACCCCCCCCCCCCCCCCCCCATTTCCTGTTCCGTGGGAGGAACACAACATCTCATGGGCTGTCCTGGAAGACCACTTGGGAAACATTTTTTTGAGATACTGTTTACTGTCAGCTATGTGTCTCTTGTGGCCTATTTTCTATGCCTTGATCACTCTTGTTGCATTCGTTGTTGTGTCATGTAAGAACATCCACTTCTCTTTTCTATGCCTTTTTATGCTCAAATTTAGCCACCTTTGTTTAACTTTCATTCTTTTATATTTGTTGCCCTTTGGAATACACTGGCTAATGCCATTATTTAATATATTCTTAAACAGCTCAACTTCCCCACCATGTGTTTTGATTCTACAATATCTCCCCATTTAATGTGTAGCATGGAGCAGTTTAGCATGGTTAGCTCTCCTAAAATGTAATGTTCTTGTCCTACCCTCATGTCTGCTTTACAGTGAACACATTAACCCTGTGATTACTGTTATCCATTACTTGCACAACCGCCATCAGCTATGTTTTTGGAATTAGGTCAAGCAGGGCCTTGTTTATAGAAGGAGCATCTACTAATTGACACATGAGTTTTTCCTGTAAGACATTCAAGAAACAACAAACCTTAGAGAAAGCAGTTCTGTTTGCACACTCAATATCCAGTTAGTGTATGTATTGTGAACTTTACATAGTGATAATAGTGAAGAGACTTACAGACAAGTTATGTTGTGAATGAGGTTTATTAAACAATGAAAAACATTTATGATCTTGGTCTCTCCTTCTTGCCTTTGTACAAGGCCAACAGGGAAACATTGGCTACTTTGACAACCTTGAATCGCACACCAGGAATGTCACCAACGGCATGACCAGCACGACCAAATCCAGCAACCAACACTTCATCATTTTCCTAAAGAAAAAGAGCAGATTGATCATTTACAAATGTGAAAGTTGTCCAAAAGAAGGTACAAACATTTTTCCTAGAACGCATTTGGAACCCCTTCACAATAGAATTCTGTTAAGAACTAAGGTAAGAACTAACAGGTAAACACCATTTCACTCTGTGCTTAGTAACAATTCACTGTGTATGAGCTGCTACAGTCATGGGAAGGAACAATTAGGAACTGTGTAGACATTTTTTTTTTCTTCTTCTCCAAGTCAAAGCTGCCAAAAGGTATATCAAACTAAATGGCTCACACCTACTTCCAGTAATCCTAAACAAACATCAATAATGTTTATTAAATTAACCACTTGCTCTTCCAGAGGATTTACCCCCGTTACTTTAACTGAAAATTGCACAGTTATGCAACGCTGTACATAAATTAAATTTGTCATTTTTTTCCCACAATTAGAGCTTTCTTTCAGTGGTATTTGATCATCTGTTAATTTTTTGCGCTATAAACAAAAAAAAGACCATTTTGAAGAGAAAAAAAAAAAAAAAAAAAAAAAATTACTTTTGGCTAAAAAAATTAAAATTTTTATTTAAAAAAAGGCCAAAATGTATTCTGCTAAGTCTTTGCTAAAAAAAAAAAAAAAAAAAAAAAAAAAAAAACACCAATACATGTAAATTAATTGGTCTACGTGAAAGTTATAGCATCTACAATTGCCAGTATATACATTAGAATGAATTTTTTCATACTAGTAATGAGCGGCGATCAGCGACTTATAGCAGGACTGTGGTGGGCATCCTGACACTGGATGGGGACTAATGGCCACCGACATCTCCAGTGACACAAATACAGTGATCAGTGCTAATAAAAAGCACAGTGTACTGATGACACTGGGAAGGAGGGGGTTATCATCTGGGGCGATCAAAAGGGTTAATGGTGTTGTGCTTACACTGTGTGCAGTTTTACTAGGAGACATGCTGCATGTCCATGCTGACAGGAGATCTGTATTTACACACAGATCTCTCCCCTCTCACCTTTAGCAGCGATCACAGAGTGAGGCCGAAAATCGCTGGCTGGGACTCTATGAATGACATCTGCTGCAACAATGGCAGTGTGGGTAGGGTGGCGCGCACCCCCCCCTACCAGGAAATGCAAAATCATGTATATTTACGTGTTTTTTTCGCAGAGTAGCCACCCTGTATATCTACTATAGGGCAATAGGTAAGCAGTTAAACATTCTAACACATCCCCGATCCAAAGGGGTACATGTAAAATATCCTGTGCACCCAGGAACTATCCATGCACCTTAGCTCCTGACTGAGCCCTCCTTTCAAGCCTCAAGAATATATCTTAAGCCTTTTCTGATACACAATAGGAGATGGTTAAAACCCTTGAGTTTTGGCCAGCCATGTACCACTGGAGAGATTACTTCAGGTACAACCTGTGGCCCCAAAGTTTAGCATGCAGCCCAGGCCCGTCTAAAGGGACCCTGCGAAAGCACAGCAGCCGACAAACATGGAATGCAGGGGTGCCAGGCAAGTAAATGCTGCACAACCAAATCTAGGGGGGGTTCAAGGGTGGGCTGTATCCCCCCAATTTTCCCAGCAGGCTACATTCACACCAGCAATTAAGGTGTAAATTGTAGCAGCAGTTCTTCCTGCAGCTCTCAGTGGGTAGATGCGGCTGCCTGCCCCCTTCACTACAATGACAGTACACCATCAGCCGCACCTATATGCAGCGCTCCATACAGCCAAAGACTACCTGCAGTGTTAACTGCTGGATGTACGTTGCCTGCATCCAGCAGCAATCGCAGCAGGTAATTGCTGGCTGCACGCAGAGCTGTGAATAGGCACGGCCGCTGAGAGCAGGAGGAACTGCTCATTATTATTATTATTATTATACAGGATTTATATAGCGCCAACAGTTTGCTCAGCGCTTTACAATATAATGGGAGACAATAGAGTTCAATACAAGAGGCAAAGGAGGGCCCTACTCCTTGGAGCTTACAATCTAAGAGATCAAGTATCCTTATTGTCAGTGTATTTTATGTGTGGCCCATGGCAATTTCTCTTCCTCTAATGTGGCCCAAGAAGGTCAAAAGGGTTGACACCAGTTTTACTTTCTGTCTCAGGACACAACAGGAAGTGGGAGGAGAGCTCCAAAGAGAAAAATCTTACACAATTGTTACTGCAACAAGTGAAACCACACCGAAACCCCTCAATTCCTTACCTAGTGACAACTAAAAATTTCATTTTTCTCACGTTCAGTTCCAGTAACAATGGTCCAGGAAAAAAGGCCTGGATTCTTTCTTACATACACAAAATATAACTGGATACTAACATTTATAGGTAAAGTTGATCCAGGGAATATCCGAATGCCTGCCAGGGGATCAGGAAGGAATTTTTTTGCCAGCAGGAGCAAATTTGATCATGCTTTGCTGGGTTTTTTTCCTTCCTCTGGATCAACTGTGGGTATAGGATTATAACTTTTTTCTTATGGTTGAATTGGATGGACTTCTGTCTTTTTTCAGCCAAACAATGTAACTATTATTATATCGAGTTTATATATAGCGCCAAAGGGTTTGCTCAGCGCTGTACAATAGAGGGGGGGGGGGGGGGGGGAATACAGGAAACAGTACAGCAACAACAAACAGCACACGAGGGGTTAGAGGGCCCTACTCTTTCGAGCTTACAATCTAGGAGGGAGGTGGGTTTTCAGGGAGCGCCCTGAAGGCGAGGAGGGTGAAGGTGACAGTCTGATGGATTGGGGTAGTGAGTTCCAGAGGATGGGGGAGGACCTGGAGAAGTCTTGCAGTCGTGCGTGGGAGGAGGAGACCAGGGAGCAAGATAGAAGGAGGTCCTGTGAAGAGCGAAGGGTACGGGTAGGGTGGAACCTGGGAATCAGGTTGGTGAGGTTAGGGGCAGTCTTGTGAATGGCTTTGTAGGTCAGAGTGAGTAGTTTGAATTTGATGCGTTGGGCAAAAGGGAGCCAGTGGAGGGATAGGCAGAGGGGGGTGGAGCGGCTGGTGAGGTGGATGAGTCTGGCTGCTGAGTTCAGGATGGTCTGAAGCGGGGAGAGCTTGCACTGGGGTAGGCCGGTGAGGAGAGAGTTGCAGTAGTCAAGGCGTGAGATAATCAGGGAGTGTACGAGTAGTTTAGTGGTGTCTGGGGTAAGGAAGGAGCGTATCTTGGCAATGTTGCGGAGGTGGAGCCTGCACGTGTTTGTAGTGATTTGACATGAGGTTGGAAGGAAAGGTTTGAGTCCAGAATGACGCCAAGGACTTTGGCTTGCGGGGCGGGATTGATGGTGGTGTTGTTGATAGGATGGGGGGGGGGGGGGGGGCACGGGGAGGGGGAAAGACGAGAAGCTTGGTTTTGGAGAGGTTAAGCTTGAGGAAATGGAGCGACATCCAGTCAGAGATGTCGTTTAGGAGGTGAGTGATGCGGCGGAGAATGTGGGGGTGAGGGGTGGAGAGGTAAATTTGAGTGTCATCAGTGTAGAGGTGGTAGTTGAAGCCGTGGGAGTGTATGAGTTTGCCAAGGGAGGAGGTGTAGATGGAGAGGAGAAGGGGTCCAAGGACAGAGCCCTGGGGGACCCCAACAGAGAGGGGGAGGGTAGGGAGGGTGGCACCGTTGTAGGAAACGCTGAAGGATCATTGGGATAGGTAAGAGGAGAACCAGGAGAAAGCGGTGTTTCTGATGCCAAGGGAGAGTAGTTTATTAAGGGAGGAGGGGGTGGTCAACTGTGTCGAAAGCCACGAGAGGTCCAGGAGAAGCAGGAGGACAGAGTAGTCGCCTTTGGCGGTTAGTAGGTTGTTGGTGATTTTGAGGAGGGCAGTTTCGGTGGAGTGGAGTGTAGGGGATGGAAGCCGGACTGTAGTGGATCAAGGAGGTTGTTGTCAGTTAGGTGGCCGCTTAGGCGGTCGTAGACTAAGCGCTTAAGGAGCTTGGAAGTGAGTGGCAGCAGGGAGATGGGTCTGAGGTTGTTTGGGTCAGTGGGATCCAGGGAGGGTTTTTTGAGTATGGGGGTGATGTGCACATGCTTTAGGGGGGAGGGGAATACGCCAGTAGAGAGGGAGAGATTGAAGATTGTGGGTGAGGGAGCGGATGAGGGAAGAGGGGGGTGACCGGAGAGTTGAGAGGGGATAGGGTCCAGGGGGCAAGTAGTGAGGCGGGCTTCTGAGAAGACTCTGGTGACTTCCTCAGTGGTAGTAGGGCTGAAGGAGTGCAGTGCTGGGGGGGGGGGTTACGGTAAGCGGGGCCTTGGGTGTGGTGGGGGGGCAGTGCGGTTGCGAGGTCAGAGGAGGGGAAATGGGGGGGAGGCTAGGTGGGGAGATGGATTGCGAGTTGACTATGTCCTTACGGATTGCCTCAATCTTGTTGTGGAAATGAGTGGTAATCTCGTGGGCGGTAAGTGAGGTACTGAGTGGAGGGGGGGGGGGGAGAGAGAGAGCAGGGAGTTGAGGTTGGAGAAAAGTCGGCGAGGGCAGGTGGAGAGGGTGTTGATCGGGTTAACGAAGTAGGCCTGCTTGGTGGTGTGGAGGGAGGAGGTGTAGGTGAGGAAGGCAGATTTGTAGAAGGAAAACGCATGAGGGAACCTGGTTTTGTGCCATAGTCTCTCCAGCGTGCGACTGCGACGTTTGAGGCATTTAGTATGGTTGTTCTGCCATGGTTGGAGCGGTCTAGGTTTGAGGTTGCATGTGGTTAGGGGTGCCAGAGAGTCTAGGGTAGCTGATAGTGAGTCGTTGTTGTTGCGGTGGTGGCTAGGTCAGAACATGACAGTGGAAGGATGCTGTCGTGTAGGCGGTCGGCAGCCGAGTGCAGGGGGGCCGGGTTCAGGTATGTCACAAAGGAAAAACAGAAGTCTCCCCAGCAGAGTCAAATACAGCAATATAAACCCAAGAGGTACTCTATGGAGCTAGAGCTCCCAGGATATGCAACATCAGCAGACTCTACTGAGCATCAGTTTCTGTATCGGTCCCTACATCAGAGAATCAGGGTCAGTGAAATCGCCTACAGTGATCACATGACCTGGATTTCAGATTTGAAAAGGTATTTGGGGCTGTATTTAAATGAATTGTTTATGCTAAGGAATGTTTTCTCTCACAGCATACACTGACTTTACGGAGACTACTTGCCACTGTGAGGAGACTGCAATATACCATTTGTAGAGTACAGATGAGTAGATTGTTTTCCGGAGTTGGGCTTTGTAAGATGAGCATTTAAAATAACATTAACATGAAGTAAATATAAACAATTTGTGATGCGGGGGGGGGGGAACCTTCCATGTGTTTCCTCATTTCATTTGCAGGCTCTGCCTCACTTCAATGAATGGGCTTCTAATAATGCAAGTCTGTGTCTCTCACCAAAAACAATGCACTACCTGTACGAATTAATTCTTATCTCAACAGGTAAGCTTGTACATCTCAAAGTTAGACACCAAAAGTAAGGAAGATTATGCTGGGGCTTTACCAAAGACCATAAAAAAAAAAAAAGTAAAAAAAATAATCCTGAATAGACTAAGTATCTGTACATCTTAACTCAGCTGGCTAAGGTCTCATTACCATTGGGTTTTATAAAAACAATTGCTATTCAGCTTCATTTTCCAACTGAGGGTTGTAGTGGGTTGCTGCCGTTGTCTGCCATCTCTGTCACTGACACCAGAGCAAGAGGCAGAAATAGTAGAGGCAGCACAGCCAAACATTTTATTAGAGATGAGCAGTGTTTGAAGATTTTTTTTTTTTTTTGGAAGAATCAGTTGAGCCAAGTTTTGAATGTGCTTTTTAAATTGGTCTGTAGGAGGTTTCCGTGTGGCAGTGATTTAGGCACATTTGATAGTACCCAGACTGTAGCACCTGTACTGTGTGTACCACATGCAGGCTCAGACACTAGTTAGCTATGCCTCTTAAACACTCATAGTAAAGCACAGGGTGGCCATAAGTGCTCCGTGCCATTCTCCTTAAGTGCCCCTGCCTTCCACATCCTATTGGAATGACTCGGGCCTTTCAAATCCTATTGGAATGACATAACTACTTTTAAAAAGGAACAAAAAAAAAAGTGAGAACTATACTTAACTGAGAAAATAAGTACTATTTTGGTGTTTTGTATTTGACTGCTGTTATTTGCCTTTGTATGGTTTTGATGGTATTTTAGTAAATTCTTTTCTTTATTCTCTGTATAGTAATTTTCTTATTTGGGTTCTCAGATTAAAAAAGAAAAACTGCTATACAGTACTGACAACACCACCCAAGAGGACATTAGGGGGCTTTAGTACAGAAAATACACAAGCTCAAATTTACCTCAATAAAGTTCAGACAACCGTCGTTTGGTACGAAAGCTGTAATTTTCTTGCCGTTCTTGATCAATTGCACTCTTACGCACTTCCTGATGGCAGAGTTTGGCTGCTTAGCCTCAACACCGCTGTAAAAATATGAAGGGTTCAAGTATAAACATCAATTTTATCAAGTAAAAGATGAAACAGGAAAACACAACCATACCTTAACCTCCCTGGTGGTCTAACTAATCAATATTTTTTGATTGTCAAAGCGGTACATTGTTTTGCATGGAAATTTGTTTTATATTGTAGGCCTGTAATTCTTAGGAATAACTCACTTAAATCTGTCCAAACAAGAGACTAGTAAACATCCCGGGTATGATAAAGTTTGAAACACGAAATTATAAATTATAAAAAATATAATAAATTTAATTCAATATTGTAATCAAACCAAAAACACTGAAGTTTGAAATATAGCACCAATATAGCACCAAGTTCGCTGACATCAGTCGCAGAATCGTTGTCAGTGTCTGATGATGTATTTCCCCACAAATCACTATCGTTCAATTGTGCAAGTGATTCGAATTCACTATCGCTGTTCTGTAGCTGGTCTAAAACTGCTTTTGACATAAAGGGACGCTTTTTGGACGCCATGGACTGTTCTCAGTTTCCAGGCAGAAAGAATGGTAAAAGTGCAGGAAGGGCAAAGGACAAAGCACTAGGGACAACATTTAGGTGAAGTGATTTGATACAGAAATGTAATACTAACAGATTACAATGTATTGTGTGTGTAAGTCAAATTTTTACTTTTTGTAATCTCCTGCCAGTTCCGTCCCCGTATGTCCTGACGCTCGCAGGGAATGGAACCCGGAAGACTGATGCCGGCATTGGCCAGCGGACACAGAGGGAGGACCTTGCAGGATCGTGGGACAAGGTAAGGCTCGATTGATCTCTGCAGTGTAATCCAGAGTGTTGCTCGGGGTTACCGCTTTTGGTACTGAAATTAACTCAGCTACACTCGAGATTACCGCCAGGAAGGTTAAAAAGTAAGGCTACTCTCCTTTCTGGGTGACCCCCTTACGTACCCGAGTCAGTTCTCGATCCAGCGATGTGCCCGAGAGCAGCAGCTCTCTCCTTATTGGAGGGAAGCAACAGGAGCCATTGGCTCCTGTTGTTGTCAATCACAGCCAGTGGGACACAGAACCAGGCTTGAGATCAAGCACACAAGAGTGCCCCCAGAGCAAACAGTTTGCTATGGGGGCACTTGGCAGCATGAAGGGGCCAGAAGTGATGGGACACCCGAGAAGAGGAGGATCGGGGCTACTCGGTGCAAAACCACTGCACAGAGCAGGCAAGTATAAGGGGTTTGAAAACCCAGAACGTTTACGATCACTTTAACTTTCAGAGAGTATCTCACCAAAAAAAAATTCCTATTGCAGAGGATGCCTAAAATGGGAGTAGTAACTTCTTGCAGACTTCTGGAATAATCAGTAAGAAAATGACATTTCTGGGGGCAATTCGTACACCATGTGTACAAAATGCCTCCAGGTTGACAAATCTCATTGCATTTTACAGAAAAATGACATCAGCTGCAGACTGAAAAGGAAAAGTAACTTTTAATACCTTTAAATTACAATATGGCTTGTGCTGCAGTTGTATATGCTATTTTTTTTTTTTTTTTTTTTTTTTTTTTTTTTTAAACAAAAGTGGGGCTTTTGCCCATTCCGGGTTCAATTAGGAGCATCCATTACATTGTTATCTTTGTGTAAGCGATGTAAGCATGTGCTTGCACAAATCTGTTACTTTTCCCCTCTGTGTGTAACAATTTACCAATTCCATCAATTCAGTAGAATGCCTTATGACACAAAATTCACCAAAATGAACAATTCAATGCTAAGGGTTCTGTTGCCATTTATAAAACATTAAGAACTTGGGGACCAAATGCCCCCCTTATATACTTATATACCCTTTACTACTGACTTCAGAATAGCCAAGAACCAACTTCACCAGCTGCAACATATTGCACGTGCAGAGCTTCTCAAAGGGCTCAAAATTGAGAAGTGATCTCCTTGCGGGTTTGTAAACACACTTTTGCATTTCTCCATTACAGGTTATGGAAGAAAAAGCAAAAAACATACAGGGGTAGGACAAAAATATGGAAACACTACATGATTTGCAGGTGTGAAAGTAATGACATGTTTTAAGCGGAAGTGATGGTTTCCGCTGTGTCATGAGACACCTAGCTAAGAGGTGGGAAGCCTCACTTTCGTCATGTCAGAGCTTACTAAGCTTCAATGGGGGCAAATTGTTGGTGCCCACTTAGCTGGTGCCTTTGACTCAAGTTACCGATTTGCAGTATCGCAAGGTACAGTATCAAAATGTTAAGACAGCATATACAGTTTCCAGGAAAACTATGTCTGATGAGCACAAGTGCAGTTGACATGGTCAACTGACAGAAAAAAGGACATTGCGCAGGATTGTGACCTGGCTCCTCGCATGAAGAATGGCATCAGATTCCATTATCCAACAAGCCTTATATTTGTCAATTCCAAGGGGAATTCAGGCCATGTTGGATGCCAAAGGCAGTCCAACACCATATTAGGGAACGCTTTTGTTCTTTACCATACTCTTTTCCATAATTTTGTCCAACCCCTGTACCTGTGGAGTTAATGAGAAAGTAGGAGCAGACTGCAGCCAAAGACAGCCTTTAGCAGATATGAGGTCAGTAGTGGGATCAGCTGTTACCAATGTAGTTACTGTTACAGTTGTCATTTATACCGGGAAAACGTAAATTGTAGTTTTAAAACGTACACTTTTTCCAGGACGATTCCTTTAGCATGGGAAGCACCTCCAAAAAGGGTTAGCCTTTAGGGCAGTCCCCAAGTGGGCCTTCTTGTACTGCTTGTCGTGCCATTTTTGCTCACGTCGGTGATTACGGAGCTTTCTTGCTGTACGAAGACCACGGCACTTGCCTGTATTATAAAAAAAGAATTTCAGACATTTGTAAAATACATACAAATAAAACCCAACAGGTAAACAGCAGACTTGTCTAAATAGGGCCAAGAGTGCAATCATCACTCAGCTGCATTTGTTAGCACCCAAGTCCAATTTCTCCACATACATTTGTTACATTCTGGAACACACAAAGTACAGTATGAAGAATGGGACCTCCTTCACATGTACAGGCAAGCAGCGCCATGGTAGTTCATTGAGAACTACAAGCTAACAACCGCTAAGGCTGTCGGGACTTGTAGTTTTTTCATTCACCAAGGACTGTGAATGAGTGACCCGGCTGGTGTCCCGCACGGCAGCGGTTTTTTTAAACTTTTGACAGCGAGGGTCAGCCCATTCATAACACGTTACACCCTTCATATGAGTGTTACATTATATTATACAGGATTTATATAGCGCCAACAGTTTGCTCAGTGCTTTACAATACAACGGGAGACAATACAGCAACAATACAAGGGGGTTAGAAGGGCCCTGCTCGGAGCTTACAATCTAAGAGATGGTATGAAAAATGAACTTATCCCTTAAGGGCTAGAGGAGAAATTTGGGGTCTCAACCCCAGATCCCTCCATAAAAAGCACCTGTCACTGCCTATTGCTGTTACAGGTGAGGCTTACATTCTTTGTCACAGCAATAAACACAATAAAAATTAACGTGACAGTGTAAACAAACAAAAAATGTAAAGTTCCCCCTTCCACCTGTGCAAAGGAAAATGCACGCGTCGGTAAAAAACACAAACAAATCGTCCAACACGAGAGGTATCGCTGTGAACGATAGATCGCAGGAAGTAATTCTAGCATTAGACCTCCTCTGTAAATCTTAAGTGGTAACCTGGTAAAGACGTTTAAAGCATTGCCTATGGATAGTAACATTTACATTCTCGCCTTTGCACCGGCAGACGCAATCTTAAAGCTTGACGCTTTTGGTATCCATTTCTCGAACGTAACACCATCTTTTATATTTTACAAACAAATTGGGTTATGTATTGTGTTATCTTGCAACAAAAAATAAAATTGAAAAAAAAAAGTTTTCCGCCAAAAATCTACACTTGAAAACTGATGTGCAAATAACATGTGACATAAATTGAACAACACACCCATTTATTCTCTAGGGTCTTTGCTCAAGAAAAAAAAAATATTCTATCCATCTATGTATGGGGGATCCAAGTAATTTTCTAGCAAAAAATGCAGACCAATTGTTAAATGCAAACAAAAAGTGCCAGAAATGCCTGGTCTGGAAGTGGATAAAATGTAATTGGAGACAAAAGTACAGCAGACCATACACTATACAATCTCATTGTACAACCTCTCCTTCAGATTCACCAAAACCATGTAATATGAGGAGAAACCTGAACTGCCCATGTAATCTCTATCCAATCAGGCATGTCCCTCCACTACAGACACTGGTGAAATAAAGACTGTACAATCTTCAGGTGGTAGGTCATCCTAATGTAGTCAGGTTGTACAGATCACTGTGCAATCTTCGGGTTGTACAGATCAGGTTGTACAGTGTATGTCACACACATAAGGGTGATGGCTTCCTGCAGCAGTCACGGTGATCAGATCGGGCGATCAGCGCCCTCCATCCTCCGGTGTGCCCTCATACACAGGCAGGCCGCTCGATGTACTGGGCCTGTCATGGCGCCCTGCCTTCGCACACCGCCGCCTCGTGCTGGCCTTCCCCCTCACCTCTCCCAGCCGGAGGAGCCCCGGGCCACCTCAGCCAGCAGAGAGGAAGGTCGGTCAGCTCATTCCCGCTCCGCCCGGTGCTCTCCCCGGTCCCAAGAGACGCCTTTGCTCACACTGCCTCACTCACCCATCTTGTCTGTCCTAGGGCCGACTGCGGAAAGAACGACTCCCAGAAGGCACCGAGACACCCAGCTGCTGCTAGGACCCCGCCAGGGCTGCCCACACCTATGCCTGACCTAGAAAACACAGATTATAGCGCAGCTATATCTTTCTGGATAAGACAGTAAGAAATATTTTGGACTCTCGGAGCTATGGCTTTATGGGGAGATCTATGAGATGTCTTATTTATTAAAATAAAGGCACATAGCCTGATCTAGACTGTCAATAAACTACACTTCCCAGCATGCTTTGGTGGCGGGGGCCTAATGGTGAGTCCGCCCTCTGTGGTACGTTTGTGTATTTGTACTGCCTATTATAAGGCTCCATTCACACCAATGTGGTTTTTAGTGCTCTTTGCAGAAAAGCACTACAGGCCATTTAACATGGTTTCCTATGAAACATGTTCACATCTCTGCTTTTTTTGAACTGCTGCATTTTTGGAAAGGGTCAGAGACTTTTTAAAAAGCAAAAAGAAGCATTTTTGCTACAATAAAGTTCATTGGAGAAGCTCATTGGAGAAGCTGCAGCAGTCACGAAATCGGGCGATCATGGTAGTGCGTTTTGCGGCATTTTGAGTTTTGCATATTTATTCTGCCCAGCAAAAAGAAAAATTACACTTAAAAAAAAAAAGCAAAAAAAAAAACCGAACAGACCGCAGTAAAACGTGTAGAAAAACGCAAAACAAACTGAAAAGCACTGTAAAATGGACAAAAAGCAAACTGCGTGGGTGTGAACGGAGCCTAAGGGCATGTTCACACTTGATAATTTCTAACGCTTGCCGAACACCCCTATAGCATTTGACAGGCGTTAGGCATTTTGGAAGCATTTTTAACGCTCCCCAAATGCCCTATGCGCGTTTTTGAGGCGTTTACCAAGCATTAAAACCGCACCACAAAAGCCTATAATGAAGTTTAATGGTATTAACGCTCCGCAAACGCCTCACAAATGTCTGCTAGGCGTTTGAGGAGCTTCACGATAGACTTGAATGGGAGGCTTCAACTCATCCTGACTCGCCATGAGGCTTCAATTTTGCTGTGACGCTAATGCTTCAGTGTGAACAGCACTGTGTGCTGCCATGTGTAGAATTTTCATAGGCCTTTGAGGAGTTTAACCACTTCCCGCCCGGCCTATGGCCATATGGCATCCTTTCAGGCATGCGCAGTTTGCATGCCAGCAGAGCCGCGCAGCGGCGCGATCTGTCACCGGCCGTGTACCTCGGACACGGCCGATGATAGATCTGTGTACCGGCCCCGTTGCCAGTACCATGTAACCTGCTGTGACCAATCACAGCAGGTCACATGACAGTTGTATACAATGGATGGCTTCCTATCATGCCATCCATTGTATACAAGTGTGGCTAGCTGTGAATGGTCACAGGGATCACATGCACAAGCTGGGCCAATCACAGCCCAGCTGTGTCATGTGATTAGCTGTGGCCAAATCATAGTTAAGAAAAAAAAAAAATCCTGAATGAATCGATTTCATTCAGGTAAATGCTTGCTTATAGCAAAGCAATTCTTTGTGTTAAAGAAAAAAAAATAGATCACTTCCCCAAAGTAGTACAATGTTACTATGGTAACATTATACTACTTTGGTCATAGTGAAATATGAAAAAAATTAAAAAAAGAGAAAAAAAAGTAATACAAAATTTTAAAAAAATTAGCAATTTTTTTTTTCGTACTGTCACCAGTCAGTGTCCATGATCACCGCAATACTGGTGACAGTATGTAAAAAAAAAATAGTGAAAATCATTTTTTTTTTCTTCATTTCCAAAAAATTATGACAAACAAATTTCAACTTCAAAAAACTCGCCATTCCTCTTATAAAGTACGTCGGACTGTCTACTTTGCAAAAAGGGGTCATTTGGGGGATATCTGTACTGTTCTGACATTCTTGGACCTCAAGAAATTAGATTGGCCGTCAGTACTTCAGGATTGATCAATATTCAGATCTATACCATAGTTTGTGAACTCTATAACTTTCCTACAAACTAAAAAATACATCCTAATTTGGGTTATTTTCACCAAAGACATGTAGCAGAATACATCTTGGCCTAAATTTATGAAGAACAATTATTTATTTGCAAACTTTTATAACAAAAACAAAGAAAAACGTGGGTTTTTTTTCAAAATTTTTGGTCTTTTTTTGTTAATTTAGCAAAAAATAAAAACCCCAGTGTTGATTAAATACCACCAAAAGAAAGCTCTAGTTGTGTGAAGAAAATGATAAAATTTTAGTTTGGGTACAATGTTGTATGACTGCGCAATTGTCATTCAAAGCGTGAGAGCACTGAAACCTGAAAATTGACTTGGGCAGGAAGGGGGTAAAAGTGCCCGGGATGGAAGTGGTTAAAAACGCTTCCCAAATGCCTGTCTAATGCCTGCTGACAAAGATAGTGTGAACATAGCCATAGTGTGATGTTGTGTTTCAGCTCCAGTGTATTGTGTGAGGGATGGCTGGACAGGACTTCCCCCATCCCTCTCCTCTACCTTGCTCCCTCCATCTGTAATCATGCTGCGGGTCTATAGGGGGGAGCTAACCGGGGTAGAGGGCAAGGTGTACAGCTTCTGCAGGTTCCCCAGCAGCATCTGCCTCCCTGACAGCACTGCCGACTGATTCCTAGAGGTGGATGGCAGTGTGTCAGAATCCTTGTACTACAATTGCACCAGCCTAGTTACTGCATGGTTGGTGGCAGGCTGGTGCAAAGATTTTTGTCTACACAGGGGAAGGTGCATTTTGCCACTCCTCACCGTCCTCTCGCCACCCCGTCTTCTCCACAATGGCAGTGTGTAACGAAGGGGTCCACTTGAGTCCTGGAGACAAGTTTTACATTTTTACATTTTTTATTTACGTTTTAAAAATCATCTTAGGCCTGGAGATGAATTAAAACCCCCAAAATATTATTCTGATATTTTTAAAATCAGATACCGTAAAGAATGAAGTGCTAGTTCTAATTTTTTATGCTACACAATATTAGCACAGCGGTTTATAAAAGACAAAATTTCAGTAAAAAATACACTAATGATAATTTCTGGGCACAAATATGCACTTTATAAAATAATTGTTTTGGTAAAATATAAAAGATGAGGTTATGCCGCATAAATAGACGCTTTAAACGCCCTTACATGTCATCAGTTTAGAGTTATGAAGAAGTGCTGGAGCTAACATGATTGCCCTCAGTCTGGCATGCACGCTGATATATAAACATGTGTAGGTCAAATTTAGGTACCCGCTCCGATCACTCCACAAAGGTCCACAGTCTCTGGTCATCTCCTGTACTGTCTGCAGTCTCTTGTTCATCTCCTGTACTGTCTGCAGTCTCTGGTCATCTCCTGTACTGTCTGCAGTCTCTGGTCATCCCCTGTACTGTCTGCAGTCTCTGGTCATCTCCTGTACTGTGTGCAGTCTCTGGTCATCTCCTGTACTGTCTGCAGTCTCTGGTCATCTCCTGTACTATGTCCTCAGTCTCTGGTCATCCCCTGTACTGTGTCCGCAGTCTCTGGTCATCCCCTGTACTGTCCACAGTCTCTGGTCATCCCCTGTACTGTCCGCAGTCTCTGGTCATCCCCTGTATTGTCCGCAGTCTCTGGTCATCTCCTGTACTGTGTCCGCAGTCTCTGGTCATTTCCTGTACTGTGTCCGCAGTCTCTGGTCATTTCCTGTACTGTGTGCAGTCTCTGGTCATCTCCTGTACTGTCTGCAGTCTCTGGTCATCTCCTGTATTGTCTGCAGTCTCTGGTCATCCCCTGTACTGTGTCCGCAGTCTCTGGTCATCCCCTGTACTGTCCACAGTCTCTGGTCATCCCCTGTACTGTCCGCAGTCTCTGGTCATCCCCTGTATTGTCCGCAGTCTCTGGTCATCTCCTGTACTGTGTCCGCAGTCTCTGGTCATTTCCTGTACTGTGTCCGCAGTCTCTGGTCATTTCCTGTACTGCCCGCAGTCTCTGGTCATCTCCTGTACTATGCCCGCAGTCTCTGGTCATCTCCTGTACTGTCCGCAGTCTCTGGTCATCTCCTGTACTGTCTGCAGTCTCTTGGTCATCCCCTGTACTGTCCGCAGTCCTGGTCATCCCCTGTACTGTCCGCAGTCTCTGGTCATCTCCTGTACTGTCTGCAGTCTCTGGTCATCTCCTGTACTGTCCGCAGTCTTTGGTCATCTCCTGTACTGTCCGCAGTCTCTGGTCATCCCCTGTACTGTCCGCAGTCCCTGGTCATCCCCTGTACTGTCCGCAGTCTCTGGTCATCTCCTGTGCTGTCCGCAGTCTCTGGTCATCTCCTGTACTGTCCGCAGTCTCTGGTCATCTCCCCTGTACTGTCCGCAGTCTCTGGTCATCTCCTGTACTGTCCGCAGTCTCTGGTCATCCCCTGTACTGTGTCCGCAGTCTCTGGTCATCTCCTGTACTGTCCGCAGTCCTGGTCATCTCATGTACTGTGTCTGCAGTCCCTTTGGTCATCTCCTGTACTGTCCGCAGTCTCTGGTCATCTCCTGTACTGTCTGCAGTCCCTTTTCATCCCCTGTACTGTCTGCAGTCTCTGGTCATCCCTGTACTGTGTCTGCAGTCTCTGGTCATCCCCTGTACTGTCTGCAGTCTTGGTCATCCCTGTACTGTCTGGAGTCTCTGGTCATCCCTGTACTGTCTGCAGTCTCGTGGTCATCTCCTGTACTGTCAGCAGTCTCTGGTCATCCCCTGTACTGTCTGCAGTGTCTGGAGTCTGTCATCTTCTGTACTGTCTGCAGTCTCTGTTCATCCTGTACTGTCTGCAGTCTCTGATCATCTGTACTGTCCGTAGTCTCTGGTCATCCCTTGTACTATGTCCACAGTCTCTGGTCATCTCCTGTACTGTGTCCGCAGTCTCTGGTCATCCCCTGTACTGTGTCCGCAGTCTCTGGTCATCTCCCTGTACTGTGTCCGCAGTCTCTGGTCATCCCCTGTACTGTGTCCGCAGTCACTGGTCATCTCCTGTACAGTGTCCGCAGTCTCTGGTCATCTCCTGTACTGTGTCCGCAGTTTGGTCATCTCCTGTACTGTGTCCTGCAGTACTCTGGTCATCTCCTGTA